GTTTCATTCGTCGTCCAAAATATGCCTGCAGGGGGACGGGCCCCGCGACCTAACTTGTTTTGTGTTTACGGCCTCGTGTGTGCTCCTCTGCCCGTCCCCTTTGCCTTCCGTTCCTGTTTCCTTTTTCCCTTTGCCCTAGGTTGGGCATGTCCTCCTACAGGCGGGCTTTGGAAGAAAAGCGACAAATTGTCAACACAGTTCGAGCATTGGATGAAAGATAGCCGAGGAAACGCCTCCTGAGCATGGTTTGCTATTTTGAACACTCCTCCTGTAGATGGACATGCCCGACTTAACCGTTGCCTCCCCCATCCATCTTGCATCGTGCTCGCGCTGCCGTGCCAGCGAGTTCCCGAGTGCGCATGTACGTTTGCGGCGTCTCCGCTCCGCCCCCAGGTTGGCCACGCTCGGCTCGAGTGTTTGCGTCCGTCGGTTTGCTGTGCCAACTGGAGGAGGAGCAGGAGGAGGAGGAAGAGGAGGAGGAGGAAGAGGAGGAGGAAGAGGAGGAGGAGGAGGAGGAGGAAATGGTGATGGGGACATCGCTTTTCTTTGGTCGTCGTCCTCGTCCTCGGCGCCTGCGTCGTCTATCATCGCCGGCCGCCCGTCCGCCGTCCGTCGTCCTCGCCTCCCGTCGCCACTCTGTCGTCGTCCGTCCGTCCGTCCGTCGTCTTGCTGCCCGTCGTCGTCGTGGTCGGCGTCGCAGCTGTGGTTTGGGGGAAGAGGAGGGATCCGAGAGGACGCCCCACCCTCTCTCCTGTATCCGCTCCCCAGCCCATCCCTTTCTCTCTCTTCCCGCTTGCTGCCCCCTCCTCTATCTCATCCCCTTCCCTCACTTGGCTCTCCCCTCCTCCTAATTACCCCTCTCGCCCCACTCCTCCCTCTATCCCCTCCCGATTATGCCTAGGAGCCGGGCGCAGCAGCGACGGGAGGAATACGCACTCCCCCTCGTTTTTCGTCCATCCAATCCTCCCCTTGCTTCTACCCCCTCATCCTCGTCATGCTCTTCCTCCTTCATCCTTCTCTGGCGGCATGCGCGGCTCTCCCACAGCTGGGGCTCGTTGAACATGATCCAGCAGACACCTCCGCCGCCCCTCAAAGAGGGCTCCCCCCAGGGGTGGCCGGCTACCCTCCTGCTCCTCTTCCTCCTCCTCCTCGTCCTCCTCCTCCTCCTCGTCCTCCTCCTCCTCCTCCTCCCCCTCCTCCTCCCCCTTTTTCCTGTACTGCCTCCCCTCATCCTTTTCCACGATGGCGCATATGCGTTGCAAGTTGCCGACTTGTTTCGGAGGCCCTGACGTATTTCACAGCGAGCCGCATATTGTGGCGTCAGCTGCCGCCGTCTTGGAGCTCATCACCGAGCTCCCGCTGCTGGGTGGGATTCGGACCTGCTCGGGTCCTGGCGCCTGGTGCCCCCTCGTGCCTCCTGGGTCCTCCTGGGGCCTCGTCGTGCCTCCTGGGACTTCATGGATCCTCCTGGTGCCTCCTGGGCCTTCCTGGAGCCTCCTGGTGCTTCTTGGTGCTTCCTAGGGCTTCCAGGTCCCTTCTGGGGCCTCCTGATGTTTCCTAGTGCCTTCTTGTGCTTCCTGGTGCCTCCTGAGACTTCCTGGGGCCTCCTGGGGCCTCCTGTGGCCGCCTGGGGCCTCCTGGGGTTCCTTGGGGCGTCGTGGGGCCTCCTGGGGCCTCCTGGGGCTTCCTAGTGCCTCCTGAGCTTCCTGGGGCTTCCTGGCGTGTGGCCTCCTGGGTCCTCCTGGGGCCTGATGCCTCCCGGGGCCTCCCTCGGGGGCGCGCCCATGAGCGACGCGCGCGAGCGGGCTCGCACGGGAGCGCCCTCGGGGCGTTCAGTGTTGGCCAGGCGCCGCTCACCCGCGGGAAGCTCCGAGCATTGATTTTGAGCCTGCGGGGGAAATCCCGGCCTCGCCCCAGACTGCCGAAGCGCTCCAGAGAGGGAGCCAGTATACTGTGCGGCGTTCAAGGGTTATCATGTTGTAACCTACTTTGACCTGAAGCACCATCGATCAATTTGAGCACCAAGAAAGTACCGAAGCTCGAGGGTCTTCGCATGTCGGGCCCTGGGGGACATTCGCGCGATACTGTTTCGACACTCTTTCGACACTTTTCCGGGCGCAGACCAGACCAGCGATACGCAGACACGGAGGACAGCGAAAGAGGTGGTGCGACGAAATATCAATTTGTACGAGCTACCACTAGGGACAATACCACGTTGTGGTTGGATGTTGCTGGAGACCGGACAATGCGGAACAATTGGGAAAAGGATTACCTTGCGCACGCGCACATCTGACCGGGCCCCGGCCCGCCCGCGCCGCTCCTAAGGGGCCCGCCTGCCGGCGGACACGCGCGTCTCGTCTCGCCTCGTCTCGACACTTTTCCGGGTGCTCGAAATTGTTGTTTGGGATGTGGTCTTGAAGTGCGATGGGAGCAACATAGCTCAAGGGGAGGAAGGCGTGGCCCGACTTCCGTTCCGCTCGGAGGCGGGCGAGCTCATTCTCGGGCGCAGTGCGCAGTGCACCTGGCTCTCCGCCGAACGCCTCGGCCACTGGTCGCTCGCTGCCTGGCGGCTGTCAGGGCTGGCGCGAGCTGTGGAGAGATAGAGAGAGATAGAGAAGAAGGAGCCGAAGAAAATAACAACGCTATAAACACAAACTCGTGGCGCACCGCGCGGATTTGTTGGATCCGCGCTGGGGCCCCCCGGCGGCGCCTCTGGCGCCGCCCCCGGCCCGCTTCCCGCGCAGATCCAAGAAATCCGCGCGGAACGCCAACAGTTTATGCTTCTAGCGTTTTTATTATTCTACGGCTGGGGGCAGGTGGGGGGAACGAGGGACGCGACCACAGTGCTCTATTCCGCACGAGAAACCAACGACGGAGGGTTGGGAAAACTCGCCCTTGCGGTGCACCTAACCCTTGCGCGACGCGTGGCCAACATGGACGAGTAGACTGTGAAGGGTGCTCACCAATGCTCGCAGTGAGTTGTCAACTCCACTGTGCGCGCAATAATCCTACCCATCCACCCCTTACCGTATCTTTCCCCTCCTCCTGCCTCTGTCCTCCCACCCACCATCCCCCGCTCTTCTTCTCCTCTCAGATTCTTGGGCTTACGCCACACCGCCGACCCCTTGGGGGGGCTCGCAGCGCGTCGCCTTCGCTCAGAATCTGACCGCTGGGGACGGGATGGATAAGGCCCGCGTTTACAGACGTGAGCCATTTATCGGACAGTCAGAAAGAACATTACAGGAGAACGGGCCAAACGCATCGCCCGGTCATGTGCCGCGCGTGCCACGAAAAATCGGAGGCCCAGATTTTCCGTTGTGGAGCATGCCCGACGGGGGCGGATGGGAAGGCGCCCGCGTTCACAGACTTGAGCCATTTGTCCGATAACCAGAAAGTACATTATAGGAAGACGGGCCAGGCGCATCGCCCAGTCGTGTGCCGCGCGTGTCACGATGCGCGCACGGGGGCGAAAAAGTTTGAATGCTCCGCGTGCCCACCGAACGGGGACGGGAAGAAACCAGCGTTTTCAGACGGGGGCCATTTGTCGAAAGACCAGAAGAAGAATTATTTCAAGCGAAACAACCCAGTTGTGTGCGCGAAGTGTTTTAAAGCGGGACGAGCGCCGCGGAGAGACCCTCCGAAACGCCCGGCGGAACCAAGTGACGAGCATTGCGACAAGGCACGGAAGTTGCGAGGAATCTGACCGCTGGGGACGGGATGGATAAGGGGGACGTGGAGGAGGGAGGATGGGGGAGCAGCCAAAGGCGGAGAAGGTGAAAAGTGAGCCAGTGGAGGGAATACGAGACAGAAAGCTGAGAGGGGAGACGGGAGGAGGGGGCGGAAGAGGAGGATGAGAAGGAGCAGGAGAACACGACGAGGACGACAATGGCGGCGACAGACTCGACGGCGTAGGCTGGGCACCTTTTTGGGGCCATCTTGGGGGCTTCGTTGACCGTTGTGGGAGCCTCTGGCGCCGTCGTCGTGAGAATCCTCTCGGGGGCCTGCGGGAGGCAGTTTGGAGGCTTCTGGGGAGCTGTTTTGGGGCAGCTTGGGGCTTTTTTTGGGCTTGTTGGGGGCCTCTTGGGGGCTTCTTGGAGCCTCTTGGAGGCCTCTTGGGGCCTCCTTGGCGCCTTTTGGGGCGGAAGGCTAGAATTTTAGGTTCGTGGTCCCCGTCTGGAGCCTTTCTTGGGCCCCTCTGTGGGCCCTCTTGGACTGTCTGAAGGCCCTCTTGAGCCGTTTTGAGGCGCTCTTGGGCCGTGTTGGGGCCCACTTGGGAGCCTCTCGGGTCGTCTTGATGCCGTCTTGGGGGCTTCTTTCGCCGTCTTGGAGCGTCGGAAGCCCGAAAAAACGCGAAGGCCAAAAACGTTGAAAAAACCAATGGAAATCGACGATTTTGGCCTCTTGGGGCCATCTTGGGAGGCGTCTTGGAAGCTTCTTGGGGCGTCTTGGAGGCATCTGGGGCCATCTGGAGGCCATCTTGACCGTCTTCGAGTGTTTTTTCGGCGACTCGGGGCCCTCTTGGACCGTCTGCAGAGCTTCTTGGGAGCCTCTTCGCTCGTTTGCGGCCCCCCCAGCAGACTCTCTGGAGCGGATGACCCCCCCCGGACCGCGCCGGCGGATCCCGGGGAATCCGGCCGGACCCCCCCCCCCCCCCTCCAAAACGACCGGACCAGGCTCCGGGGGGAGGGGTTTGGGGAGGGGGGAAGCATCTCACACGCCGATGACCCCAAGGGGTCGGCGGATTTCTCATCCTCCCTGGAACGCTCAAGGGTTGAAGGTGGGAGGATGAAGAAAAGACCAGGAAGGTTTTGCATATGGGATCTGGGATGATGAGGGAGGAGAGGAGAGGGAAGGGAGGAGGATGAGGGGGAAGGAAAAAGGTGAGAGAAGAGGATTGAGATGGGATAGAAGGGAGGAGGAGGAAGGGCCCCAGGATAATGGATGGGAGGCCTCCCCCGGCGCCATCTTTCCGATCTGCACTGCCCCCCCTTCGCCCGCAGCCTACGATTGTCGGTTCGTCGAGGTGTCGGCGATAAAGCAGCTGGAGGCCCGTTTGGTTGCTTGCAGCGAGCGCGCATGAGCGTAGTTACGATTATTTCTCCCTTTCCCAATGGGGAGATGCTTGCGGTTCTGCTATGTTTACAATAGTTTGTTACGTCGTGCTCATCACCTTCACCATCGCCATCACCTCCACCATCATTATCATCACCATCGCCACCACCACCACCACCAACATTATCATCACCATCGCCACCACATGCACATGTATACATATAGAAGGAGGAGAAAAGAGACCAGGAGGAGGACCAGGACGTCCTTCCCTCCTCGTTGCCTCCCCTCGTCTCCCTCCCCTCATTTCCCTCCCCTCCACTGCGTTCCAATCTTCCCTCCAATCCCTCCTCCGTCCTCCTCCCTCCAGCTGTGATGCGCCGGGCACGTGCGGCGTCTAGTCCACGACAATTGCCAGTATTGATGGCTAGGGCACTTGATTTGTTCAGAGCACGTGATCGTGGTGCAGTCCTGGGAGGCAGCCCGCCAGCCCTTTTCTTGCTTGCGCGTCGAGTTGTCTGGCAATCCACAACGTGCGCGGGCTAAGGTCCCACCCGCTTCCTGTGAGCTCAGTGCTCTGTCTTTCTTCTTTTATCCTTCCCCCAGGTTGTTCCTCACACTGTTGGCTGTCCTTCTTCCTGGCCTTCTGGCCTTCCCCGCTTTCTGCCTGTCCTCCTGCTGTTTTGGGTCTTTCGTGGTTGGAAGGCGTGGTGTGCTTGGTCACCGATTGTACTGCTGGTCGCGCAGTCCCGACCGCCTTTGAAGTCAACGTAACAAAGCAGGGGGTCTGCTCTGTTCATGGGAACAACGTTGCCCCTCCAATCCCCCACTCCCCTCGTCCCCCCCTGCCTCTCCATCTCACTCTCCTCCCTCCCCTCCTCCACCACAGAGCACGACCCAGCGTCCCAGCCTGCGTCTTACCTACCTACCCCTCCTCCACGTGTGCGGGGGCGGGAATACGGAGGCGAGAAGGAGGAGGGAAGGAGCGAACATACAAGAAACAAAGAGGAGGAGGAGGAGGAGACAGGAGAGGAGGGAACGAGAGAGGATGCACGAGAAGGAGATGGAGGAGCAGAGGAGGAGGAGGACGAGGAGGGGGAGGAGGAGGTGAAAGGAGGTGGGACGGGGTGGGGAGAGGTACGTTTTGGGACCCGCAGCGGCGACACGCAACCGCTGCGGAATCGAGGCCAACACTCGGCGTCCGCACCTCCCGCAGAAACGCAGGCCATGAAGGTCCTAGCAGGCCAGGGTGCGGGAGGGATGCAAGACCGCACCCCCCCACCGCGACGCGCCCCTGGACCGGCGCAACGACCTCGGACGGAAACGGGCCAGCCCCGACAGCAGCGCTTGAGAGGGCTCGACAAGCCTCTGGAAGGCCTGCCCGGGAAGCCAGAACCTCGCTATCGGTGCATCGACCATCGGTCGGTCCCGTGGGCAACAAGCTTGCGCGGGCTGGCCCGCGCAGCTCACGATCACAGCCCCGCCTGGCTCCATCTAGTGATGTGCGTCCGCGGCTCGAGCTGTGCGGGGCCAGCCGCGGGCGCGCCGCTCACAGAGCGACGGGCTTCCCGACGAGTCAGCGCAGGCAGGGCATCCCAGAAATCGGTGCGAGGCTCGACCCCAACTGGCATGGCCCAAATGCGCTGTGCGGCCTCCGACGCCGCTTGACCAGCAACATTCTTACCAGCGCGGAACGCGTGAAAGCTCCGCGCCGTCCCATGCGAGGTGTGACGGTGCCCATTCCGTCTACGGCCCGTCGGGCGCGGTAGCAGTGGTAGCTCATTTCTTTGGGGTGATCGTGCCGCACGGGCTACTCCGCACGCGGGAGAATTGCTGAACCTAATTGAACAAATTGCAATGCGACTCTCTAAGGTTGTACTCAGGTCTGACCCCTCGAATGCAATGTGTTTTTTGTTTGTGTAATATTTGCGCATATCTTTGCGCGCAAGCTTGACAAGCGCTCGACAATCAGTTTCCTCGGATGTTCGTCGGACAGTTGTTGGTAGGTTATTTAATCGCTTCGCTCATTCGGCAGGCCCTGGAGCCCTCTTTAGGGCCTTTTGGGGGCCTCTTGGGGACCTCTTGGGAGTCTCTTGGGACTCTCTGGGGGCCCACAAGGCCTCTTGGGGGGCTCTTGGGGGCCTCTTAGGGCGGGAGGGGGGGTAGTCGATTGCGGCTCCACCCTCGGAGGCCACGATCTTCGTGAGGGGTGTCGAAGAATGGCCCTCCCCTGGAGTGCTCTGGCGGCTTCTCCCGCGACCTTGCCGGGATACTTCTCGTCCAGGGACCCCCAGGGGCCGCCCCGCGCGCGCGAACTAGAAATATTGTGAACCAGTTAATTACCGGAGATCTTAGCACGCTTCTGGCCCGTTGGGCCGGCGAATTTCTCCTTGGGAAAAATGCCACGCGGGCTGCCCGGCACGCGGGAGAATGTGTTAGCACAGTCGTAAGAGAATTGTGTGGCAATTCTGAAGGGCTGTCCTCCCCAAGTGTTGGTTGTTTCCATACACGTGTGCGCAAAGTTGATTTTGCTGTTCGCTCTGGTTGAGGAACGCGGGTTTAGCGAGGTCTGGGTTGTCCAGTGCTTGGGATGTGGATCGTGTGGATTCGCCGTGCTTGGGTTGTGGATTTTGGGGGTGGCGCGCCTGGGCTCCTGGGATGTTCGTTGGACAGACACAGCTGCGGAAATAATGGATGCGAAGAGCGGCGGCAGGGTTTCTTGTTTTGGGTAGGGTTGGTCGTCGGCGTCGCCGCGGATCGTGTCCATTGGCGACAGAACGCAGTCTGCCCAACAGCGGCCGCTGTCGGTTTTGAGCACCATTTGCCGTCGGACGTCGCGCGCAGTTTTCTGTGCCCGCTCAGTGTAGCTGCGCCTGTGTTGCGGTCCCGAGGCAACATCAACGACGGCCACGATGTCCACCCAGAGCCACACGAGGCCTAAACCTTGAACTCATCACGCCTGCGGCCTGGTTGGTTTGAAACCATACCACTGGGGCCATGGCGGCTGTTTAGGAAGTACCGGTTGAGAACGTGGGCGCCGTGCTGGACGTCTTGATCAACCGGGTGAGTCGCCATGTCACAGCCGCGAACGTAACGGCTTAAAAAATTAGTTTTCTTGAAAAGGGAGGCATGATGTTGAGCTTAGCGACGCATGCCGCAGTGATGATATTGTGTGAGACGATTGGCGACTGCAGCGTTGAAGGTGACGCATCGGGGCCTCCGAGGACGATGAGAGATTACTTGCTCCACTGTGTGCAAGCAGTGTGCAGCAACTACGGGTTCATGTTTGGGGCGGCGTACAAGCTTGAGATTGGCGGCGGCGTGGGCCCACCTGAGTCCGCGTCGTGAGCGTTGAGCCGTGTGCACATGTCGTGCCAGGTTTTCTCTTATGCACGACATGTGCACATGTCGTGCACGTGTTGTGCCAGTGTGCATACCGCATTTATGAATATCATCTTCGCCCGCGCTCCCGATGGGGCCACAAACCGTGTGAAGGGGCGTGCCGACATGCGTGGCGGGGCACACAACGCGAGCGAAGACGATATGTCTGTGTGCGAGAGATTGAGAGCGAGTGAGTATGATTGTGGATGAGTCTGCGCGAGCGTGAGTCTACGTGCATAAATGTCGACGCCCATGTCGGCGCGCGGCTCGAAAGCGGCCTCAATACGTCGAGTACGACGAAAAACCTCCGGAAATAAAGAATCCGCCGCCATGCGAATTCCGGATATGAAACGTTGCATTGGGTGGTGGATGACACGTGCGGGCGGTCCCTTTGTGGCCTTCGGTGGAGCCCCCTATGGGGCCACGATGCGTTGTACTGGGTGGTGGATGACACGTGCGGGCGGTCCCACTGGGGCCTTCGGTGAAGCCCTCTATGGGGCCACGAAGCGTTGCGCTGGGTGGTTGATGACGCATGCGGGCGGTCCCACTGGAGCCTTCGGTGGAGCCCCCCTATGGGGCCACGAAGCGCTGTACTGGGTGGTGGATGACGCATGCGGGCGGTCCAATTGGGGCCTTCGGTGGAGCTCCCTACGGGGTCACGAAACGTTCTACTGAGTGGTGGATGACGCATGCGGGCGGCCCCACTGGGGCCTCCGGTTGAGCCCTCTATGAGGCCACGAAACGCTGTGCTGGGTGGTGGAATCGCGTGCGGGCGGTCCCACCGGGGCCTTCGGAGGAGCCCCCTATGGGGCCACGAAGCGTTGTACTGGGTGGTGGATGACACGTGCGGACGGTCCCACTGGGTCCTTCGTTGGAGCTCTCCATGGGGCCACGAAGCGTTCCTACCTGGTGGTGGATGACGCATGCGGGCGGCCCCACTGGGGCCTTCGGTGGAGCCCCCTTTAGGGGGCCACGAAGCGTCGTGCTGAGTGGTGGATGACGCATTCGCGCGGTCCCACTGGGGCCTTCGGTGGAGCCCTCTATGGGGCCACGAAGCGTTGTGCTGGGCGGTGGATGACGCACGCGGACGGTCCCACTGGGGCCTTCGGTGGAGCCCTCTATGGTGCCGCGCAGTGAGGGGGGAAAAACGGGGGGAGGAGGAGGAGGAGGGAGGAGCAGGGAGGGAGGAAGGAGGGCAGGAAGGATGGAGGGAAAACGGGGACCGTCTCTTCAAAACGAGGACCCAACACCACAGGTTGGTTGAAAAATGCAGATGGACATTGGGTTTATCAAGTACTGTGAGACAACTTGCGGACATTTACTGGCCCAAGATGAAGGCCATCGCTATGGTGCCATGGGTGGCCACTGATATGGGCAAATGTTCAGCCAGGGGGCGGCATGTTGGCAATGCGGATGAAGGCCGAGCGCCGGGAGCTGCACAGTGAACGCCCGCTGCGTCGGTTGCGCGACGTCGAGGGCGTCGCCGCTGAGACGCAGAAACCCGACGCGCGAGCGAATCTCGAGGTTCCAGCACGCGTGGCATTCGCGAGAGTAGACTCACGCTGCCGTTTGCAATGACGGATGAGCCCGGAATTCCTGCCCTCATGAGGGCCGGCGTCGTGCCACTGAGGACGCCACCCGCGCGCGTCAGCCTTCGCGCGAGCCCGCGCGAGGCACCTTGAGGGCATCAGCGGCCGCCGAGGATGGGTCTTCTGAGGGTGGAGTTCCCGAGGATGCCATTTGCCAGGGTTTCGGTCGGCCAGAGCTTCGACATTGTTCTCCAGACTGGAGGTTCGGAGGTTCGGGGAGTTTTTGGCCCTCTGGGCCCAGGCCGCCTACTTCTCCAGAGACTGGATGGGCCCGCATGTCCTGCCCTCGCGATGGCCTGCGTCGGGCCGGCGAAGATGCTATCCAGCGTTTCAGCCCTCGCGCGGGCCTGCGCGAGGCGCCTTGGGGACAGCATCTGCTGCGAGACAGCGCCGCCCGAGCTTTCGGAGAGTGGAGTTTCCGCGGGTCCTCGCGGGGCTTGAGTTTCAACCTTTTTTTCAAGGGCGGTGCTTCTGAGCGCGGAGTGTCTGCGGGTTTCGCGCGGCCCGAGCTTCAACGGTCTCTCCAGGGATGAAGCTTCCGAGGGTGGAGTATCTGAGCGCCCTCGCGGGCATCGAGCTTCAGCGGCCCTACTCAGGATGGAGCCTCCGTCGTCAATTCTCCGAGGGCCGAGTCTCTGGGGCGAGATTTTCCATCGGAGCGCCCCTGAGGCGCGATGACTGGTCGTCGTCGCAGTCGCAGTCGCAACCGCAGTCGCAGCTGCCGGCGCCGCCGTTGCGCGGCCTGCCCAGGGGGGGGGAATCTGTCGCTCCCCCCGTTGGTGGAGCGCCCATTCGCGAATGAGGCCGCCGAACATATAACTGATTGGTTCTCATCGGGGGGTCTGAAGACACCCCCCGGCGCGCGTCTGCAACGAGAAGTCAGGGCCGCCCCCGCGCATATCCAACAACAGACTCGCGCCCTCATCTGCGAGCGCGGCGCCATCGGTGAACGTCGTACCGCATGCCATAGTAACACATGTCCCTTTCTTTGCCCCAATGTGTCTTCTTCATCGGTTCTGGCGCTGCCCACTGATGCGTCCCTGTCAGGACAATCGCATCCCACTGCTGAAGTGCACTGCTAATCTGTTCCGGTCTGCCCGTGGTATTCGCCGCCAGCGGATTGCTGAATACCAGCTTCATCAGTGCACATCGAACACAATGCTCTGGCCATCCGTCGTCCATGCCCCCCCCGCCCCCTCTCTGGCCCGTGAAAGTGTGGTGCGGTCGTCGAGTGAGGAAGTTTCAGTCTGATCCCCTCTCCGTCGGGACTCCAGGTGCTTGAGCCCCCAACGCCGACGACGACGACGACGATGACGACGACGACGATGACGACGACGACGACGATGACGACGACGACGATGACGACGACGATGGCGACGACGATGACGACGACGACGACGACGATGACGACGACGAGGAGCAGGCCGACGACGACGACCACGACGAAGGCGACGGGCGGAGACCCGCGCCCAGCCGCTGCGCCGCTACGCGAAGCGTACGATCGGCCTGGGCCTGCTGCTCCGCGGCTTCTTCCGCTTCTACGCCACCCCGGGCGGCTTCGGCTGGGAGAAGGAGGCGGCCCGCCCCCGCTTGTCGGGGGCGGCCAGGGAGGGCTGCGGGGGCCCCCCTCCTGCCCTCCTCCTCCCTCTTCCTCTTCCGCCTCCCTCCTCCCTCCTCCCTCCTCCTCCTCCTCCTCCTCCTCCTCCTCCTCCTCCTCTCCTCCTCCTCCGTCCTCCTCCGCCTCCCTCCTCCTCCTCCCTCCTCCTCCTCCTCCTCCTCCTCCTCCTCCTCCTCCTCCTCTTCCTCCTCCTCCTCAACCTCCTCTTCCTCGACTTTCTCCTCCCCCTCCTCCTCCTCCTGCTCCAGCATCAACCAGATATCGAGGAGAGAGCGCGATGACTATGACCAAGTTGGCCCCAGATCGTGTCGACGCCGACCTGGGCCATGGTTCATGCTGACCGTCGCCGACTCGCGAGGGTGATCCACGAATTGGCGATGACCAACATTGATAATGATCGCGGTTCGACGGACCCGATTCGGGGGTTGGGACCGCAATTCCCATTCGATTCGATGTGCCTGCCAGCTGGAGCCGGGCGCGGTGATCTGATTTCGAGTCGATTCGCTGGCGATTCGATCTGGTCCAGATGAAGGACGACGCACGGTGACCGTGACCAAGATGTCGTTTGATCTTGTCGACGCCGATCTTGGTCGTGGTTCATGCCGAACGTGCCCGATTCGCGAGAGTGACTACTGAAAGGACAATGACTTAGATGGACGATGACCAAGATCTACACTGACGTTTCCGCATTGAGTACTAATCATGCTTTGTCTTAACCTTCTCCACGAGAGTGGTGGGGACAACGGGGTGGGGATAGATTTTATGGGGCCATGGTATCTGCCTGAATTTCATGGCCGTCCTCTCCTTCTGTCGACGCGTCCCCTTAGCCCCCTCCTCTGTTCCTCGCACGTGCCTTAGGCCAGGGCCCCGATGTGCACCCCCCCCCTACTGCATTCCGCCACACCCTCGCCGACGCCTGCTGCTCCCAGGGGCGGAGGATTGGTTGTTGTTTTTGTCGCAGGTTGTCGCTGGTTCTCGGCTGTTTTGAGGCCCTGGGATGCGTTCGGACACTGCGCCTCGTCGAAACGGCGTTCCTGGGGTTCCCGAATCCTCCCGAGCGGCCGCTGGATCTTTTGCCTCCTCGGCCTCCGTTTTGCCGTTGCTCTCTTGGGTCGTCGACCCTGGGGGCCTTCCTGGCGAGTGGGGTGTGAGTGAACAGTTTGGTTTGTTCATCCCCTGCTCATGGCGCCGTCGACGACGAAGCACTGCAGGTTAGCCTCTTTCGGCTTGCCGCATAGGTCAATGGTTGTATGCACCCCTCCATGCTGCGTTCGCAGCTGTTGTTCCTGTCCCCACGAGGACGCAGCCAGTAGAAGCGACGAGGCTGCCTCACCCCGCCCGCCACTGCCCGCTGCCTCTGGAACTCTGTCGAGTCGAACTCTTCTTGGATGCTCTCGGACAGAAGCGAGGTCGTTGCGGGATGCTGCATTAGGCTTCTGCCCATTTTCCACCACCACTACCATAGGCAGGAGAGGGAGGAGGAGAGGAAGGAGGAGGAGGAGGAGGAGGAGGAGGAGGAGGGGGACCTCCTCATGCTCCTTTCTCCCCCGTCCTACATGGTAGTGGTGGTGGAACATTTGCCCATCATCATGATGCTTCGGGGATCCATGGTTTCTGGATGCGTTTGGCCCTGTGGGGCCTCCGGCAACCTCCAGTCGGCCCAGACATTGAAGCCGTACAAAAGCGTCCTCCGCCCTTCTTGGTCCTCCTCTCTCCGGCGCGCCCGTCCTCCCTCCCTCCCTCCCTTCTCTTCCCTCCCCCCCCCTCCTCCTCCCTCCTCCCTCCTCCTTCCTCCTCCTCCTTCCCGTGGTGTCTTCTCCTCCTCTCTCCTCCACCCATCCCTGCCTCGCCCCCCTCCGCCTCCTCCATACTCTCCCCTCCTCCTCTCTCCTCCTCCATCCTCTCGCCTCCTCCACCCATCCCCGCCTCCTCCATCCTCTCTCCTCCCGCTGGCGCGGAGCCTCCAGCCCCTCCGACCCTCGCCCGCCCCTCCTCCCTCGATCGTCAGGTCGTCTCGGTGCGCCTCGGCGAACGGCGGGAGGCGGCGAGCCCCCTCGCGCGCGCGCGGGCGACGCCAGGCAGGTTTTTCGTGGCGGGCAGGGGGGCGTTTTGGGGGGGGAGGGCGGGGCGAGGAGGAGCGGAGGTGGCAGACGGAGGGCGTGGAGTGAGGAGCTAGGCGGGGCGAGAGGGGCACAGAGAGAGAGAGAGAGAGAAACAGCTCACCACATCGGACGGCAACGTCGTCGAGGCCACCCGCCACGCGTGCTCAATGGGCGCGCCTCCCAAAGCGGGGGGTTCCGCATACTAGACATGGGTGGTTGGGTTACCTTCCCCCTTGGGCGGGCGCGCACAAATGGGTCCCCGACTGGAGAATGACCCTGACGATGCATCCAAGCTTGGCGCAACGCGTGGCCAAAATAGTTAGGCAGACTCCATAAGGGGGTGCTCACGTGACAACCAGTATATGGCCTGCAAACGCTACTTGGGAGGCTCGCGAGCTGCGCGACTCGAAGGACACCGATCGATGGACAAGGCAATATAGAGATGCGTAGTTATTCTCCTGGCCCAGAGGGAACGATGAGCAAATATTAAGAGGAGCAGGCGAACAATAATTTTGAAACATCACCGGATCAGCAGCAAGATGATAGCAGCGGGGAGGAAGGACGTGACGACGAGGGACAGGCAGAGGAATGAGAGGGGCTAATTTCCGAGGCGCGCCACCCATCTTTTCTAGCCAGTGAAAGAGACGCGCGAGGCCGAGCTGCTCTGCCAACTTCTGGCCGCCTGCCCAGCATGTTCCAATTCGGCTTGTACAAGTGCGCAGGCGCGCCGTGAGGTCGAATTTGAGTCTGCGTGGCCAGTCGCCATTCTGGACACACCAGCAGTTCCGAAAGCTACACCCATGTTGCAGATCATAGCCCCCGAGGTATGGCAGGGTTGAGTCTGAATCTGCGGAGAACTTCGCTCCAATGGAGTCCCCAGCAGCCCCCGAAAGTGGTGATAGCTTCGCAGATCGCAGCCCCCCAGGGCTGGCGAGGTGGAGTCTTGAACTGCGTGGGACGTTATTCCGTTGGACCCCCCAGCACATTTCCAACGTGGCGATTGTTTCGCAGTTCGCAGCCTTCCCCACCCAGCGACGATGAGGTGGATCTGAGCGTGTGTAGGACATCACCATGTAGCCATCGAAACTCGGCAGGATTTCGCAGATCGCAGCCCCCCAGGGACGGCGAGATCTATTCTAAGCCCGCGGAGGACGTCATTGTGCTCCGCCCCAGCAGCTTAGCGACGGTTTCGCAGATCGCAGATCCCCAGGCATGGCGCGGTCCAGGGTGAATTCGCAGCGGGTACCTACTAGTCTGATTCCGCGTTTGGCGTCACTGCGTTGGCCTCCCCAACGGCCCTCGGAAGAGGCGACCATTTCGCACATCGCAGCCCCCTTATCAAAACGGCGAGGTCGAATCTAGATCTGCGTGAGAAGCAAATGTGCCCCCCCCCCATCACAGCAGCCGTTCAAAGTGGCGATGGTTTTGCAGATCGCAGCTCCCCTGAGATGACGAGGACTACGCTGAATCCACGTATGGCGTCATTGTGGTGACCCCCCCCAGCAGCTCTCGAAAGTTGCGCTGCGTTCGCAGATTGGAGCGCCCCAAAGATGGCGAGGTTTAAGCTGAGTCAGGCCCAGTCCACGTAAGGCGTCAGCGCGCTGCTCCCCCCAGCAGCCTTCGAACGTGGCGACCGCTTTGCAGACCGCAGTCCCCAAGGGATGGCGAGGTTTAGCCTGCGCCCACGCATGGCGTCATTGCGCCCCCCCCCAGCAGCTTTCGAACGTTGTGGCGGCTTCGCAGGTCGCGGCTCCCCCGGGAAGGCGATCTTTCACCTACGTCCGCGCCTGGCGACTTGACTTCGTGTCTAAGCTCAGTCCGCATACGGCGCCACTGTGTTGGCCCGGCGACAGTTTCGCAAATCGCAGCCCCCCAGGGAAGGCGAGGTCTAATTTGGATCAGTTTCGAATACCCACTGCGCTGCCCCCCCCACATCAACTCTCGCAAGTTGCGACAGTTCCGCATGTCGCCCCCAAAAAGGATTGGCGAGATCGAATTTGAATTTGCGGCGAGTGTACGCTCTGATATCCCCCCAAACAGCTCGAGAAGGTGGCGACAAGTTTGCAAATCGCAGCCCCCCAGGGATGGAGGTCTGGCCTGCATGAGCAGCGAGTACCCATGACGCTGCCCCCTGGCATCCTTCGAATGTGGCGGCATTTTCGGGGATCCCCCCCCCGAGATGGCGAGCGAGGTCTAAGTCTAGGTCTGCGACCGCTAATGGATTGCGCCACCTAAATTGCACCACGTTGACTTGCACCACGTTCGCTGAAACGCATCTATTGTACGGCATCGCTATTTGGGGTTCGCGGTGGCTAGCATGTATGTGTGCACATGAACGCATGCATGCACATGCGCACACACACACACGTGCACATACACACTCGCATATATACATACTTTACATACACATACGTGTACATAAACATCTGTATAACCAGACACGAAAAAGCCTGCATTAACGCTTCGCGCCACGCGATTCAGTTTTCGAAGATTGGCATGCAGGCATGAAGGACAATGCTGTAAACCATAACAGTTAGCGATGACGTTGTGGCGCATTCTCCAACATCGTCATTCTACTAATGTGTTTCATTATCCAAACCTCAATTTTCCTCATCCTCATTCTCGCCTGACCCTGCGAATTATTCCCCATCCTCGTCAGCTGTTTTCATGGGGGTTCCTCCTTGTTGGGCCGCCTGGGAGTTCTCTAGCGCTGTATGGGAGCCCTTCTGGGTAGTTGTGGGGGGCGATTGTTGGGCCTCCTGGGCAGTCTCTGAAGAGCAGAGCGTTCCCGAGCTCGTGCAAGAACCATTGGGGTCAACGCTTTGGTGCCTTGGGGGCCGGGTCGTCGCCGTGGAACCATGCAGGCCTCCTGAAGCCCGTTTGGGTCGTCTCCGGTTGTCTGAAGCTCGTTTGGGTCGTCTCCGGTTGTCTGGTGGGCGACCAGGGCCTTCCTATGGGGCCCTCGCGGGGCCGGCCAGCCGCCCTACAGCTGGGCCGGTGGGGGCCCGGTGCCCGAGGCTCGGCAGGAGCTCCAAGCAGAAGCCCCCTTGGCAGCCCCAGGGCCTAGGGGGGGGCCTTTTGCAGGGCGTCAGGGTGCCCCCCGGGTTAGGTCGGGCATGTCCCTCCACAGGGGGAAGATTCAAGAATAGTAGACACATGAGTTGGGGGTGGTTTTGTGTTTTTAAGTATTGCTTTTTCTTTCTGGTGTTTCTTGAGTATATGATATGATTCGCCCAGAAGCCGCCTGTAGGGCCGACCTAATCTAACCCTGGGGCCACGGACCCTGGGGGCTCAATTTTTTGGGCGCGGGGGGGCGTCCTCACCCCCCCCAGATTGCAAGAGCTGATAGAGAAACAAGGGAATGTAGCACCCCGCAGGTGCGGATAAGAGTGAGGGGGCGGTGGGGACGTCGGCAGTTTGCGAGACTCTGGAGAAGCCCGCCGCAGGCGCCAAAGTTTCACAAAGTATACAACGAGCCCGCCGCAGGTGCTTTTATTCCGTTAAACCAATGTGGGTAGGTCGCGAGTGGGTCGCCGAGCGCGTTCCACGATTCGCGAATGTGCCTGCTCGCAAAGTGCCTACTCGCAGATTGTCTGTTTCGGTGTAATGTTCATCGTAGATCCCGCGCGGCGGATCCAGGACGAGTAGTGGGACGCGCTGGTCTATCTGTGGAAGGAGCAACGCACACGCACACACACACACATTTTAACCGTCGTGGCCTCGCGCGTAGCGTGTAGGCGGGGAATGTCACTCGACGGGCGAGCGCGTGCGCGCGGCGGGCCTCTCAGAGCGTGCGGGGAACACGCGCACACACCTGCACACACACCTGCACACACACCTGCACACACACGCACACACACACACCCACACACACACACACACACGCACAGACACACACACGCATACGCACACGCACACGCAGACGCACACGCACACGCACACGCACACACACACACACACATACAGAGACGCGTGTTGGAAAGCGCGTTTTGCGGGACGAGGACGTAGAGGCATCCCACGGTCTGGAGTCGGGATTGGGGCCGGAGAACAATAGGAGTGGCGTAAAGGATGGGAGCAACGGGAAGGGATGCGGTTGAACGTTGGGGCAGGAGGAACGTAACGCAGGGGGGGCGAAGAGGGTAGCAATGTTTCTCCGCTCGAACGTCGTTGCCAGAACACGGTTCAAGTTTAATTGCCAACATGCCAACTCTGAACGCGTCGCGCAGCCCGACCAGTCCATGCAGAAACGATGTTTTTGCGAGTTGCCCGAGAAGAGTAATAGTTAAAGCATTTTCGAACCAACGAGGCGGGGGTATGAATACGAAGTTGGGCTCGGCCCAAACGCCCCCAACAATGACACGCGTGGGGAAGTCCCAGAACCTTTGCCTAGGTGTCATGCTGGGCGCAGTTGGAACATTCTTGGGCTGCTGTGGCCCTCTTAGGGGGATACCGTCCTTGCTGGAGCGTTCCTCGATGCCATGTGATCAAGCGAGTAAGAGCATCATAATCCGTATCTGGCGCTGTCCCCTGAGGATTCAGGGATTTTTGTTTTGAATGTTTCTTGCGACGATCTTCAGGTGCTTCTGCGGGTTTCTGGCCCTCTGGTGGCCCTTCTGGGCTCATCTTGCTGTTTTGTGGATGCATCTTGAAACCGGTTGGATACCCCGGTTTAATGCCCCATTTTAAGGCGCTCGCCCCCCATCCCTCCCCCCTCCACTGGATAACCTGAACGTGTCGGTTGCGCAGGTCCGAAGGTAGTACACAACATTCGTGCGCGCATGCATGCATCGAGCTGCCCACTGGATAACCCGGGCTATCACAAACCAATTTACAAGATAATACTATTCGTCTGATAAATCATTGTGCATGGGAACATCCCAGGTTGTGAACAGGTTCTGGCCCCTTGGGGGCATCATACTGATATGTGTTGGAAGCATGTTGGAGGTCCGCGACGCGATGTTACCAGAGAGCCCCATGAATCCCATTTCCATCTAGTGTTCTCAGCCGTTTAACAGCATGCCCCGCGAGGTGGGGGACGTGGCCTTCAGCGACGAGCTCACCTATCAGGTCGTCCACAAGAGGCGCAGGTTCGGAGTGCAGAGACAGGTCGCTGCTTTTGTTGTTCCCAGGTCTGTATGCCGCTTGATGTCGTCATCCTCGCGGCTGGGGCAGCGGCGCACATTCGTTCGCTGTGCAGTCTCGGCGCTCTATGCCGCACGAGTTTGGTTATATCCAGCTACCCGTTGCAGACTCGATCGGACAGTAAAGGGAAGCGCCACTCGATTCCAATGGGCTCCGGGGCGAAGGAGAAGACGAGAAAGGCGAGGGCGGCCATCTTTCAGACATCCGTCGGCGTGGGTGCCCGGTGCAATCCGTGGCCCTCAATTGATTGATGGGCTTGTTTTCCACAACCATTGCCATAAGTTGGAGGGGGAGGGGGTCCTCCTCATCCTCGTCCTTCTCCTCCTCCTCCTCCTCCTCGTCCTCCTCCTCCTCGTCCTCCTCCTCCTTCCCCCCATCCAACTTGTGGTTGTGGTGGTGGTGGAAAACAGGCCCATCATTAATTTCTACCGCCAACAAGCGGCCCACGCCACCGTGCCAGCGGCAGACTCCGTGTGGCGACCGTCTTCGGAGCACCGCCCGGGAGGCCGTCACACGCAGCACCTCGGTCGTTGCCGCTTGCTCAGGAGTTCTCATTGGACAGGTCTTTGGAATGTCGTTGTGCTCCCCATCCCCATCCCCACCATCCCACCTCAGAGGCGACGATAGGGACGAATAGCCCAGGGGGGAGCAATGCATGTACCCAGGGGCGCCGATGATCTATGTCTTCGACAAGGCTCCTGGGCGAATACGTGTAATGCCCGCCCCTGGGCTATTTGCCCTTTATCGTCGCCGCCGACCACCACCCCAGTCAGGAATATACCCATCGAAACCCAGAGGAAACAGCCCATATCCCCATCTATAGGGGGGTACATCGGGCAGTGGGACCCAGGCCACACGCTGGTCGGGGCAGTGAGGAAGTTCCCTGTCTTGGGAATGTCTTGGCTCCTGCCTTGGGAGCGTCTTGACCCGTTTGCGCCCAGGGCGGTTTTCAAGATGGGACGGCGGCCTGTTTCTTTCGTTCGTTCGCGAGATGTACTTGGAGTCGTAGGTATCTGCAGCTCGGAGCATATACGGATGGTCCGAATGCCAGAGCGCGCACGTGCGATTCTTCTGTAGGTGATGAGCCGCACCATAGTTTGTTCCTCTGATTTGTATATAGATATATATATATACATATGTATGTATATATATGTATGTATATGCAGACAACTGGTACGACCCGGGGTTTTACATATGTATATATGCAAAAAAGCATACGAGTATTAATATTACCAGTAATCATATGTTGTTCCTCTTTTGATCCACTTGCCTCCCTCTTGCCTCCCCTGTCCCTTCCAATTTTGCACGTGCGTTGACTCATCGTGTGTATGAGTTGGGGCCTTTTCCTGGTGCTCCTAGATGGCCAGCGCGCTGCAGGCACGCCCGCCTGCCTTGCAGGGGCGCTGGCCCTGCTAGGCGGTGGCAGCGTCGCTCGTTCCCTTCCGTGAGGCAGCCGTGGGGATCCCTTGGGGCCCTCTTGGACCGTCTTGAGCCCGTCTGTGCCGTCTGGAGACTCTATTTGGCCGTCTGGTGCCTCTCGTTCGTATGGGTCTCCTGGGGGGCAGTCGCGAGGAGTCTTGGTGCACTCACCCTTGGGGCGACTGGAGGCCCTCTCAGGCCGTCTTGGGTCCTTGTTGGGCCGTTCTGGGCCGTCAGGGCGCCTCTGAGGTCTCTGATGGGGCTCCTTCAGGCTCGATCTTCTCCCGAAGAACATGGACATCGAGAAGCACTGGACAACCTACAGGGCATCACTCGCTTGGGCCTCTCGGAGGCCTCCTGGTTAATCAGCGTCTCGGGTTGTACTGGCCTCTGGGGACCTGCTGAGCGTTTCTTCGGGGCTCGTGAGTGCGTCTTGAGGCAATGTTGGGACATCTCACCAGCCTTGGTGGACTTCTAAGGCCGTCGTGGAAGCCTCGGAGTTTCCTGGAAAGCCACAGGGGTGCATGATTGTACCTGAGGTCGCACGCGTGACAGCAGCCCCTCAGGGCAGCTTGGATGTTTCATAGCAAGCCTTTGCCGTGTCTGGATATCGCGATCGAGTGCTTACCCTCCCCCCCCCCGGCGTTTTCATGATGTTCCTCCTCATCTCGTCTTAGCGGACGAACGCATAACATAATCTGATCTGCCGTCTGGGAGGCCTGCTCCTGGGCGGCTGGAAAGTTTGATGACCAGATGTGCCACCGTAGGGGTAGAAGCCTTCCAGCCGCCCTGGGACAGGCGATCCCGATGGCCGGAACAAAATACGGTAGGTTTTGCGACGTTGGCGCGCTGGCGACGCCGAAGATATTCCTGATCGACTTCTGCGACGCGGAAGCGCCGAGGGACGCGGTAACACCACCAGACTTGACGGAATTCAGTTTTGGAACGCTCGGGGCCGCGATCGAGTCCACGTGGAGAGATCGACGCGGTGTCAAAAACTTTTGCGCGCGCCGACGCCGCGCGTTATGATGTTCCAACCTACTTTAGCCTTGGTCACCAGAAATAATTTCGAGCACCAGGACAGCACTGAAACTGGAAGGCTTTCACGTGTCCATTCCTGGGAGGCGATACTCGTTCGACACTGCTTCGATACTTTCCTGGGTGCTCGGAATCATTTCTGGGATGTGGTCCTTCAGTACGGTGGGAGAAACATAAGCCGCGCGAACTGCCGTATATCGTCCGTCCTCGCTCTGGCTCAAGCCGATGTGGCTCCAGCCGAGGAGGCTCGACAGCCCGGCCCGCCCAGGGCCGTGCGGTTTCGCTGCCAGGGGTCTGTTGCCGATCCATCGGCGATGCATCGCCGAAATTCCAGCTCGAGGCCCCCCCCCGAGCAGGGCCCCTCGGGGCCTCTTTCGATGGCTTCGGCGTGGTCGGGCGGATTGTTGAAAGGGACGAGGCGGGGTTTCCGCATTCCTAACCGATGCCTGGAGGATCGATCTTTCGGGGACCCACGGGGCCCAAGTATGTGCATGTGCACCACCCCCCAGGGTCCCGGTGGAGAACAATTGACTCCGTCCCCCTTCCGACCCGTGTCAGTCCCCCCCCCCCGATGTTGGCTTGCTCAATCAGCAGCGGCTCCAGGTCAGACCTGGGTTCCCGCGCTTCAGCATCGAGGATCCTATAGAGGTGCGCTTGGCAGTGGAAAGGGCAGCAGGAAGGATGATGAGGAGGTGGATGAGGATGCCGACGACTGTGTCGAAGATTGGGGCTTTGGGAGAGGCTGGAGGAGGCGGACAGGGGGGAGGGAGAAGAGGGGTGGCGAAAGGAAGGTGGTAGAGCGGAGGAGGAAGGAGGGAGGATGAGCAGGGTGCAGTAGCGAGCGAGCGGCAGGACGACATTCAAAATCAGGGTGCAGAAGGGAGGACGAGTGTTTGACACGGAGGGAGACGGAGGGACATGTGAGGGAGTTGAGCGAGGAGGGGGAGGAGAATTGGGAAAAGCGGAGGAAGGAGGAAGGAGGAGGAGGAGGAAGATGAGGAGGGTGAGGAGGCGGACGAGGAGGAGGAGGAGGAAGAGGAGGTTGAGGTGGGGATGGAGGTTGATGAGGATGAGAAGGAGAAATGACGGGGTCAGGAATTTGGAAGAGACGAGAAAGATGATGGTGCTGATTCGGACGGAGGAAGAGGAGGGCGAAGGCGGACGAGGTCCAGTATGGACAGGAGGAGGAGGAGGAGCTGAAGGAGGGGAAGGGCATGCGGAAGGGCCACCAGAAGTAAACAATAAGACGATGCTCCTCTGAACTCTCACGCACGACAGGGCCCGAACTCATAATAGTACAAGCAGGGCGCGGCGAGGGTCGGCCTTGTAACCTCCTTAGGTTGTTGGTGCGTCCCACCGCTATGCCTCTGCCACGCAGTTCGGGCACTGTCAGCCCCCCGGGGGTGTGGCGCGTGGTATGCTCCGCTGGCAGGGCCCACCAGGAAATGTGGGGCCTCCCGTCTTCGATCTCGCGCAAGCAGGGCAAGAGCACACGTGAGCCGTGCAAGACAGCGGGGTCGTCTGCGCCGACACTGGCGCCAGAGCTGCCCGCGTGAGGTCGCGCGTGAGCGTCCCCGTCTCCGACGTGGCGGGCCGCGCTGGCGGCCTGCGTCGGCCACCGCGTGAGGCCGTTGTGCCGCCCTGCGTAAGACCCGCTTCTGATCGTTGCCCAAACCGCTCTCGGGTGCTGAAGAACGCCAGAGTTAAATCGGGCCTGTCCCTCTACAGGGGAAATATTCAAGAATAGTCAAAACATAGTCTGGGGATTTGTTTTTGAATATGGTTTTTCCATTTTGGAGTATTCTCTGAGTGTTTTTATTTTTCGTAGAACATACGGCCGCGGCGCCCAGGGCATGCCGTCCCCCAGGGGTTCGGAGGACGCGCAATGGAGGCGCGATACCAGGGGCGCCCTCGAGGGCGCGAAGTTGTTCGCGCTTCGCGGTTCGGTCCCGATTCCTCACCCTCCTCTTCTCCCCTGGGAGGCGGCGCGAGAGGGCGAAGTTATTCGCGCTTCGCGCAGCGCGAAGCGCGAAGTTGGGAGCCCTTGCTGAAGGGGGTCCTCTAGGGCCCAGGACATGGGGCCTTTGGGGTCCAAAATGGGCACATCTCGTCTCCCAGTCACTGATCGCCTTCCATGAACTCGTATCCGAGAGGCGCCCGATTTCTGACGCTGTTGTATGGCCTACGAGCTCATGCAGAAACTATGCCCATGGGAGTTGCCTCGATAGGGGAAGTATAATGGAAGTAGTGGAACGAAGGGGGGTCAGCAGTCAGACCGAATCTCGGAGTCAGCCCGATCAGACCACGTAGTCAGTCAGAGCCTCCTCTGGTCTTTCGACTTGGGAGCCTTTCACCAGCTTGCTTGGGCCTCATACTGCAATGTTTGATGCCGTTCGGACTCGTGGGACCCCCTTCGGGCTCGCTTCGGGCCCTCTTGGGGCCCCTTTTGGGGGGCAGTCTTGCAGCCCATCGATAAAAGGGTTTCCCCGTCGAAACCCGACAACTCACCTCTTGGGACGATGTACGGTCGCTCTTGTCGCCGCCTTGAAGCTTCCTTCAGGGCCCAGAGTCCCATCAGAAGCGAAAAGGCGAGACGACAGAAAATGTTTGATTGCGAAGGCCTTGCGGCTGGTTCCGCCGATCCTTGAAAATGTCACTCATGACAGACGAGGTGGTCGGAGGCGCGCGAGGCCTCTGTGATTAGCTTGGATCTCATGTGGCTGTCTTGACACCCTCTTGGAGGCCGTTTGTCCTCTCGAGCCGCTTTGTGGCCATCTTGGAGACTTTCTGGGCCGTCTTTGGCCATCTTGGGGCTCGCGTGAGCCGTTTTGGGGCCCTCTTGGCCGTTTGGGGTCGTCGAGGCTTTGTGGACCAGATTGCGACTTTCTAGGGCGTTCTTAGGGCTCTCCTGGGGTGCCTCGTCGGCAGTCGCGGCGTGATCTTCGAGGCTTTGTGGGCCGTCTTGGGCCATCTGTCTTGGGAGCCTCGTGCTCCATCCTGGTGCGATTTTGTGGGCTGTTTGCAGCGTCTTGGGAGGTCGGAGGGAGGAAACAGTGAGAAACTAGCATCATGAAACAAACACGGCACTGTAAATCAACGCTCTTGGTTGTTGGGACACTATTGGGCGCGCTGCCGTCTTGGAGGTTTCTTGGGCCGTCCTGACAGCGGGCTGGGCCCGCCTTGGAGCCCTCGCGTCATGTGTCAGGGCCCCCCTGCACGAGCGCAAAACATTGGCCGCCCGGAGAGGGGCCGATCGGGCGGGGCAAGCGCTCCTCCCAGGGGGGAATGCTTCACCTAGAGCGATCATAAAGTACCCCCCCCTTAACCCCCCGAATGTTTGCTTTCTCCGGCCAATAGGATTTATTTGTGGAGGAGGGCGCGGAGGCCGAACTTTATAATCCACGGGAAAGTTGCAGGGGTCGAAGTCGCTATCATGTCATGTTGACTACCAACTGCGGTCGAGCGGGAGGGGCTCCCCGTGGACGCCATGACAAGAGATGGCTCGAGGTCCCCCGGACTGGCGTGCGCCCCGGGTGGCTGGTCCTGGCCCCTGCGGGTTGACGCGGCCGCCCAGGCCTCTCACACGCGCCGACAGGCCCGGAGGAATAACACAAGTTTTTGGCGTTGCCGGGGTTCTCAGGAAGGGAAAACACAGACGCAGAGAACCCTCGGTCCAACGGAAAAGAGAGGAAGCGGGGGTGGGTGGGCGGAAAAGAGAGGATGCTCAAAGTTTCTGGAAGATCTTCGGGGCGACCGACGTGGGTACGAAAAGAATGGGTACAAAGACCGACAGCAGTTCGTGTTCGTCTAGAACAGGATTCGCTGTCGGCGTCGCCGCGGATTGTGTCCATTTGAGACAGAAGGCCGCCTGCCAACGGAGGCCGCCTGCCAACGGGGGAGCCTCGAGACGGGGGTCAATGCAAACGGGGGTCAGCCAGGGCCCCGGATTCTGCAGGATCCTGCGAAGACCCCCTTTGGCTGACCCGGGTTAGCGAGCCGCTCGTGGCCGCGAGGCGGCCGCTCGTGTTGGCCGACCCGGGTTTGCGAAGACCTGCGTTGCAGCTTTTTTTCATGCATTGCAGTTTTTTTGTTTCCTGCTGACCCGGGTCTGGATTGACCCGGGTCAGAAGATCCCCGATTTTGGAAGATCTGGGGCATCTCACCAGCCCGCAGATCTGACGATCGCAAGCCTGGATCAAAGGAGCGTGGATTGGCGACGGGTCCGGTTTCCACGGGAAATCGCGAATCGCCGCCGCCGAGCGAGGCGGCACCGGTCGCATTTTGGGGAGGGCACCTCCCCCGATCCATGGATTTGGCGACCGCGCGCCAAATCCCTGGCTCGCTAACCCATGTTGACGCGCCCCCGAATCTGGGGCAGCTCATCAGCCCTCAGGGTCGCATTGGCAGTGGCCTTGGCCCAGACGGATCTCTTGACCACATCCCCATGGACTGGTGGCTTCCGTCGCGACGTTCCCCAATCCTCTCGTGGTCCAGCGGCAGTCTCCTGTCCGCCGACATCGCAACAGAAGCGCCCTCTCGCGAGTTTGCCGTAACGTGGACTGGCCCAGCTGTGTTCGCTCAAGTCGGCAGCGAGCGAGGGGGGGAAGTGAGAAGGAGAAGGCCTTCTCGGAAGGCGGCCGATCGTCTCAGACGCCCTCGCGCCGTCTGAGAAGTCTCCTGCGTCTTCGGGGAAGGCTTAGAAAACTCCTCAGACGGCTGGGGGGGTCCGAGCCTTCTGAGAAGGCCCGCCTTGTTCTCACTTCCCCCCCGGGCGCGCTGCCTATCGACGGGCAGACCCGCGATCCATCCCGGAGACAATCCTGACGATCCGCTCGAGCCACGCCCAGCCGTGTCCACGAGGGACCTCCAGGAGGCCCCAGACTCCGAGGCCTGGAGGTCAGCACCACCAGCACCACTGTGGGCGGTGTGCCTCCACCGAGGGAAGATGATCCCGATCTCGGCGATGGTGGTCAGTAATGTTCGGGCATCCAGGTAGCCGAAAGATCGCTAAAACCAAAACCTAGGGTCATCCTCCCCCGGCGGACGCACCCCCCCGCTTTGGTGTTGGCGCAGCAGAGTCCTGCCCCTCCCCTCGCCTCCGCTGCTTGGCCGCCCGGCCCTTCCGCGTGAACGGTGATGACTTCGACGACGCCGACGCTGCCGCCGCCGCCGCTGCCGACGCTCGACGACGACGACGACGACAGACGACAGACGACGACGACGACGACGACGACGACGACGACGACGACGACGACGACGACGACGACGACGACGACGACGGTGCCGACGACGACGACGACGACTACGACGACGACGACTACGACGACGATGACAACAGACGACGACGACATCGACGACATCGACAACATCGACGTGGACGAGTGCCTGAGCACTGGAGGCGACGGAGCTGAGCGGATGCCGCCGCGCGGAGGTGCACCGCAACCTCAACTTCGCGCTGCGCGAGCCGCAGCTGGAAATGATCCGGGAGAAGCTCTCCGAAGCCCACGCGGGACCCACCCGGGGGGGCGGGGTGGGCTGGCCTGTGCCTCCTCTCGGGGGGCGGCCACGAGAGGGGTGATGACTTGGGGGGGGGGGATACAGTCGGACCGAGGTACAGGATCGAGGTTGGTTCGGAGAGGGTGCCCTAATGTTGATCGTGATTGTTGGATGTTCTTGTGCACCGCTCACTGGGGATGGTACCCCTGGATGTTCTGCGCGTCTTCGCTGGCGGAGTGTCCCACGCTCTCGAGGGACGCTCTTCCGGCCAAGGTCCTGCAGTATCGTGGCGGGGGCCACGAGGTCTCCCCAGGTTTCATGGCACCTCTTCTTATTGCGAAGGCCTTACGGCCAGTGCCGCCGACCCTGAATGGCGACGACGACGACGACGCCTCTTCTTATTTCAACACGTCCCCGGACCCCCCCCCCCCGTGGGCCGCGCTCGTGCCGCCGGCCACGACCTGCGCACCCCCCCTCCTGGACGCCCCCCTTCTCGGACGCTCCCGATCCTCTGCTCTCTCCCTCCTTCGGTGATGGGCCTGTTTTCCACCGCCACTACCCTAAGTTGGAGGAGAGAAGCAGGAGGGAGAGGAGGAGGAGGAGGAGGAGGAGGAGGAGGTGGTGTGGAGGAGGAGGAGGTGGAGGTGGAGGTGGAGGAGGAGGAGGAGGAGGAGGAGAAGGAGGACCCCCTCCCCCTCCAACTTATGGTGGTGGTGGTGGTGGAAAACAGGCCCATCATTCGGGGGTCCACGCCAGGGGGGAGGACGGGCCCGGGCTGGGGAAGCGGCGCCCTCCGGTCGCCCAGTCCTCGCCCAAATTGGGGCCTCCTCTCCCCCGGGAGCGTGCGGTCTCGCTGCTGGGTGACGTCGATCCCAGATCATTGGTACCCTCCTGAACTCGAAGAAGAAAACATCGCCATAAACATCAACTTTTTGCGCTCCTCGCGAATTTCTTGGATCCGCGCCTGGGCCCAGGGGAGGGGGGCCCGGCGTAAATCCAAGAAGTCCGCGCGGATCGTCGACAGTTAATGTCTATGTGTTTTTGTTCTTCCTCTATGGACGCCCCCCTCCTCGGACGCTCCCGGTCCTCTGCTCTCTCCCTCCTTCGGGTCTCCACGCCAGGGGGGAGGATTGGCCCGGGCGGGGGAAGCGGCGCCCTCTCGTCGCCAAGTCCTCGCCCAAATCGGGGCCTCCTCTCCCCCGGGGGCGTTCGGTTTCGCTGCTGGGTGTCGTCGATCCCAGATCGTTGCTACTCTCTTGAACCAGCTCCTCCTGGTCGGCTCCCCTCAATCCTCCTCCACCTTCTCCTTCTCCTCCTCCGCATGAGGGTCTTTTTCTCACATCGGATGATTAAGTTGAGGCGCATGGTCCAGTAGCTCGATCAAACGGCACATCGCATTTTGCGTGTTGGATTGGCCACGCGGGGTGCATTACAAGGAGAAGGTCTGCCTTCAGGTTGTCTCCAATGCAAAAATTCAAGGGCTGATGTTATGCGTTATGGCTTCCCCGGGATCCTGTCAGTACGCATGTGGTCAGGAAGTTTAGAACCAGAATTTGCGCCCACAGTTCTGGGGTCGTTGTGTACATGCACCCTGTGGCTGTCCCATCTCCACCCCTGTGAACATTGACGGTCGGGCACCGCTTCAGGAAGAAGAGGATGTTGCACGGGAGGAGGAATGGCAAAGGGCGGAGGAAGGAGGGAGGAGGAAGGAGGAGGCGGAGGAGGGAGATGATGAAGAGGAGGAGGAGATGGAAGAGGAGGAGGAGGAGGTGGAGGAGGAGGAGGAGGAGGAGTAGGCAGAGGAGGCAGGCAAGAGGAGACAGGAGCAGGAGGACGAGCCGTAGCAGCAGCGCGAGGCGGGGGATGACTGCCGGGGAGAGAGTGGCTCTCCAGGACTCGAGGCGGGCAACAGCCTGGCGCAGCTGGCACCGCCGCGCGCCGCAGCCTTCCTTTGCCAGCAGCCCTTCGCGTTGAGTTACGCATGTCCTTCTGCAGGAGGCACTAATCCCCAAAACAGTCCAGAAGTAATGCGAGGACGGTGTTTGTATGTTTCGATGATTTGTGATAATTCTAAAACAAAATCCGCCTGCAGGAGGACATGCCTGACCTGACCTGCGCGCCCATCTCCCATTCTTTGCCCCCCCTTTTCTGTCCAGGAGGAGGATAAAGAGGAGGGAAGCGAATAATGGCATAAGCATAACAACTCTGAGGTCCGCGCGGATTTCTCGGCTCCGCGCTGGACCCTCCTCCCCGGCGCGCGGAGCGCATCAGGGGCGGCGCCGGAGGCGCCGCCAGGGCGTTCAGCGCGGATCCGAGAAATCCGCGCGAACCTCCGAGTTGTTTTGTTATGTCATTTTTCGTTCCTCTAAAGAGGAGGAGGAGGAAGGGAGGGTGGAATGTGGAGAAGGAGGACGATCGACGATCGAGAAGTATTGGAGGCTTCTCAGCTGATCTCGTCCTGCGCGTCGCACCCATAATCGCAGTCTTGGTCCGTACCCGGCTCGAGCCGGCACGGGCAAGCTCCCAGTTGGCTTTTGCCGCATCGGAGCCAGAGGAAAACCAGCACCAGGAAACAAAACCGAAGCTCCGACAAAATATTTGTGCATTTTTTGTTTGAAATTTGTTTTGGTGGCGCCGAAGGGTGGCGTTGTCGCGCGCACGTCCCAACTTGGACCGGGGCCGACCGCCACCCATGCATCGCGCGAGTGTCTTTATTGCCACTACGTGCGCTGTTCCACCGTTATCATAACGCATGCATCAGATCTTGTCATTAAGGCCCAACCACACAGATTCAATGCGCGTGTCGCAAAAATCTCACACATCATGCGCGCAAAAAGCGGCGCTCCGCGGTGCGCCGTGACGTTGGCCGCTGCATTGCGCATCATTGCATGGCGCGTTTCCGCTATGATACGTGGACGCCCACAGCGCGGGTCCTGCGGCCGTGTCGCAGGCGCTTTGAGGACACCCAACCCTCGCGATCTTTTTGCCTGCTCGTAAATCGCGCCGTCGACGGGTTTAAACATCGTCCAATCATACCCCCGGCCTTTACGATCCCTGTGCCCGGTCACGGATCGCGCCACTCGGCGAATTTTAACACCTTAGCATCGTTATATATTGTTCCCCACCATCGCGATATGTGCCCGCGCGCAGGTCGTGCCCCGTGGCGTATCTGAACATTGTACTTGCTCCCGACCCTCACGTCCTTGTGCCCGCGCGCGGATCGGGATGGGCCCCCCCCCCGTGGCCGGGAGGGGGGCTCGGGGGTTCCCCCCCAGTCCCCCCAGGGGGGTACTGAACGGGAACCCCTCCTCGAGGTCGGGGAAAAAGGGTCCGAATTGCAACGGCTCCACGTTCGGAGAAAGTCAAACATTTGACCCTTCCAATGTTCTTCGCCTGGTTTTTCTCAGAGCCCCCACAGACGGCCGACATGGCTAAAAATGACCGCATGAGAAGGTCGAAAGCACGATGCGATCGCCCAAGGGCTCCAATAGTATCCGGAACTGTTCGAGAGCAGCACGGGCGCCCGCAGACCGGATGATCATGGTCAACGGAGGCGCCCCCGGGACCCCATTATTTTGCCAAGACAAAAGAGATGGAAATGGCGTTCGCGCCCACGCTTTTGCAGGGCGCAGAACGCTCAACACGCCCCGGCGGGGCAGCAAGAGTCGCCGCAGGATGGCCTGGATGAGTCCAGAGGAGGTAGACGCGGCCTACAACCTCCACCTCCCCCCCGTGATCCCCCGCCTCTTCCATCGATCCCCCCCCGTCCTGCTCCTCCCCCACCTCCTCCTTTCACTCCCCGTTCCCCCTTCCGCCCCCCCTCCCCCTCTCGTCCTTCCCCCCCTCGTCATCCTTGCTTTCTGCCGTGCCCTCCTGTTGAATCCCCGTCGTTATCCTCCACTCCTTTTTCCCCGTTCCTCCACCTTGTCCCCCTGCGCCTCCTCCCCGCCCTGCGCCGGCGGAGGCCGGCGGCAAACGGCGGAAGACGGCCCCATTTCGGCAGACACGCTTCCGCGCGGCACGGGCGGCCCCAAGATGGTCGGCGAGATGTTCCGATAGGGCCGCGAGCCGCCATCAGGTCGATCCAGGTCGTCCAAGATCGCGCCCGGATCGCCCAGGGAGCTTCCAGGACGCGTCGGGAGGCTTTTGAGAGGCCCTCCCGGAGAGCCCCCAGCGTCAACATGTATTTTTGTTTAGGGGGGGGGGCGCAGGTTTTTCTGATGTTTGCGTCTTCGGCTTGCCGACGCACCAGAACAACCCAAGAGGGCCCCCAAACCGCCCAAAAACAGCCTCAGAGGCCCCCGAGAAGGCGCCCAAACAGTCCAAGACGCCCTCATGACGGCCCAAGAGGCCTCCATGACGGCGCGCGAAGGCTCCAGGAACGGTCAAAAAAAAAAAAACCAGAGTAAAAGCAGCAACCGGCATTTCAACTTCGCCGCCCAAAATGCCCCCCCGGAGGCCCCACGCGGCCTCCAGCAGGCACCAAACATCGTGTTCAGACGGCCCAGGGAACACCCAGGACGCCTCGGGAGGCTCCGAGAGGCCCTCCCAGAGAACCCCAGTGTCAACACGTTTTGGTTTTCGTTGGGTTTTTGAAAGTTTCTCGGGTTTCCACGTTCTCGGCTTGCCGATGCTCCAACACAGTCCAAGAGGGCCCAAAGACCGCCCCAAGACGGCCTGAGAGGCCTCCAAGAGAGCGTTCAGACAGTCCAAGCACGCTCTCAAAACTGCCCAAAACGCCTCCACGACGGCCTCCGCAGGCTCTAGGAACGCCCCCGGAAAACATGTAGAAGAAGGGCAGGACCCTACATCTCAAGCTCACCGCACAAAAGGACCCCCCGGAGGCCCCGCAAGGCCCCCGGGAGGCCCCCAATATCGCGTCCAGACGGCCTTCGGCGCTCCTCGGACGCTTCGGGAGGCTTCCGAGAGGCCCTCCCAGAGAGCCCCACGTGTAACAATTTATTGGTTTTCGTTTGCTTTATAATTGTTTTTTCGGGTTTCGGCGCCCTCGGCTCCCCGGCGTTCCGGGGCGGCGCAAGAGGCCCCAAAAACCGCCCCAAGACGGCCTGAGAGGCCCCCGGGAGAGCACCCAAACCAGTCCGACGCGCTGTCGAGACGGCCCAGGGGCCTCCAAGACGGCCTCCGAAATCTTCAGGAATGCACAAGAAAGTTCCAGAGAGGCGGCGGGGACCTACATTTTGGGTTCTCCGGCCCAAAAGGGACCCTGGAGGCCCCGACGGGCCCCCAGGACACCCCCGAGAGGCTTTCAAGAGGTCCCAACGAGCCTGGAACAGGCCTCCGGGAAGCCCCCAGCCGTCCCTTACAGGGCCCCAAGACGGCCCAAGAGGGCCCCAAGATGGTTGGAGACGCCGCCAAACGGACAACACGGGAACCAGCGTTCATCCCACGACCAGGAGGCCCCCAGATACTGTCAAGAGGGCCCCAACACTGCCCCAGAGGACCCCAGGATGTCTGGAGACACCCCGACAAAGCGTCACCACCTCAAACGGACAACGCGGGAACCAACGTCAGGTGTCATCTTGGCATCTCACCTGCAACGCACGGACCTATCAAAGCTGGTGGCCCGCATGCACGCTTTTCTTTGCACTTCACTTGCTCGCAAGCCACGCGTCCCCCCACAGTGGTTCGCATGGTCACGTGCTGAACCCGCATCGCAGGAGCCCCCATGTGTCCTCCAAAGTCGGGGTTCGTGGTAATATCAGGTTAGCGTGATGGATATGGTTGCTTTCCGTGCTTCTGTCGACCAACAACCCTGACCGCCACCTTCGTTGGCATCGAAATGCCTGGTCACATCGGCCTTTTGGGCTCTCTTTGGCCCTTGGGGCCCTCTTGGGGCGCTCTCAGGCGCCTCTTCGGGCGGTGTTGGGGCCTTCTCGGGCCTGCGAGATGTTTTGGGGTTCTCTTTGAGTCTGTTTGCTCCTCCCGTTCCTCCGCTCCTCCTTTTGCTCCTCCTGCGCCGTGCGCGTGCGCTCCCCCTGCCTCTCCTCGCCGCCTGCATTCTTCCCCCCGCCTTGCACCGGGGGCGTTGCCCGCAAGGGGCCGACGACAAAAAGAAAGCAGGCGGGCCGACAAAAAACAACACGTGGACCGACAAAAAAATTGCCCGACCAAAAAAGTGGCCCCGACAAAATGGGCAGACAAAAAAAAAAACAGAGGCCCCGACAAAATGGCCCGACAAAAAAAAAAAAAAAAAAAAAACGGCCCGACAAACAAAACGGCCGCCATGACAAACTGTTGGAACAAAGTGCAGCGACAAAATTATTATTGGCATCGGCGGCTGGGCGGATGTACTGTAAATTCACAGCTACGGCGTTGCCCCTGCGATTTTGTCGGGCATTTTGTATGGGCGCTCTGGGCAGCATTTGAGCGCGGGGAGAAGTCGCGCGAGCGTCGTGGCCCCTATTGGCTATCTTCTTGCTTGTCTCTAATGCTGCGGGACGGCTATTCACGGCTGAGGCGGATCCCCACCCTGCGCGCCCGCGAGCGCGTTCTCGTCGCAGGTGAATGGGATTTGTCTCACGCGTGGCCGTCCCGCTGGCGGGATGCGTTTTTCGCGCGCGTTCGCTTGGCCGCTCCGCCGCCTCTTTCTCCCGTCGCAGGTTCCCCCCCCCCCCTCCTCCCGCGCGCGCGTCGCTTGACCGCTCCGCCGCCTCTCTCTCCCGTCGCAGGTTCCCCCCCCCCCTCCTCCCGCGCGCGCGTTCGCTTGGCCGCTCCGCCGCCTCTCTCTCCCGTCGCAGGTTCCTCCCCTCGCCCCTCCTCCCGCGCGCGCGTTCGCTTGGCCGCTCCGCCGCCTCTCTCTCCCGTTGCAGGTTCCTCCCCTCCCCTCCTCCCCCACAGGTCCGCGCGTCTACTTCGTGGAGAGCACCTACGTCCCTCGTCGGTTTTGCGGCTCGAAGGTCAGGAC